CCAACACCTCAAAAACAAAATGCTTACACACAAATACCGACAAAAACACCGACAAACCCTCAAACTACTACCAAACATGTGGTAGAATTGTTTTTAAAAAAAATAATTCCAATCCCCAGGGTGGAAAATTCCTAACAGATCTCAGTTTGAAATAACTGGAGGAATTTAGCCTGGCTGGGAGCCAGTGCGCACCACTGCTATAGGGGGACGGAAAAACTGTTTGTTGCTTGTGAAAACAAGGGGCTGTTGGCTAATCCGTCTTTACTCCCAAGACCACTTCAAAGCTCCAACATTAGAATCTGAAAGGGGCCAGACTGTAATTAAGCTTCCATTAAGCCTGCCTTATGATGGAGAAACTTCTAACTGTGACGCTGCAGTGGAAAGATTTCAAAACTGCCCTGACAAAATTAGCATGGGACATAAAGAGGAAGGGGGCAGCACGGGGTGCCCAAAGGGAGGGAAATGAAACTAAATAACACATCACAAAACATTTACTATGCTGGGTTTGCATGTTGTTGATGACAAAACATACGGGGAGTTAGGAGTGTGTGGTAGGGATTAGGAAGCATTAGGATAAGGGCCACTGAAAATAATTGAGGCATAAGGTTACTTTTATATTATATCGGGAGAAATTGATTGAGAGTAAACAAGGTAAACCTCCTGAAAAGGTTCAAGTATTTTTGACCAGAGCTATATAATATTTGGTTCTAATTATTAATAGTATGCAGTGCCATACAAATATTCCATTAGAGGATGTGCAGGTTGTCATCATACTTAAAGAGCAACTTCCAGGTTAAAGACACCTGTGAATAAATGTGTAGGAAAATGATGAATACACTACATTTTATATATACAGAAATATACACTACAGTGACATCTGGCGTCGTTTTTGTAAGAAATGTTCATTTCCGCATAAAAAAGCCTCGGCACGTGACCTCCCGCATGTGACGTAACACGGGGGACACAAGGGGGAGAGCAGCCGGTGTAACGTATTAATAAACAAACAATGCTAATTTCGACACAGAAGACACAGAAGAAGATGAACATGAATATTCGAATGCATATGACGGACCACAACCTTATAATTATGAGCCTGCTAGGCGTCCAAGAGACCAGGAGCAGCCAAGGATTAGAAGAAATAACGGCCATCGGAGAGAAATTGAGCTGTGGTGTGAGGAGAACCAGTGGAGAACTGGGCAGCTATCTTGGTGAGTGACCGGCGTTAGCTACAGAATGTTAGCTAACGTCACATCACAACATTGTGAAGTTAGCTATCATATATCAGGCTATAACTAACGTAGCATTGATAATATAGTAACGTTACTGGCAGAACTGTTGATGCTGATCCATAACAGAAACTAATGCGCAAGTATCAGCCGTATCTCGCGTTACCTAATGCAACTCCAAACTACGGTGCTGTGTACCGGAGGAGAGACGCGAGATACGGCTGATACTTGACGATCTGGCGGAGAAAGGTTGTGGAGCGTCCGTTGATATGTCGTTGTAAATGGCTTGATAGAAAGCAGGTGTGTAGTCGGGGAGGGTACACAGCTGATTGCAGCTGATTGTGAGTGGAGGTTGAGCCGGGAGCCAGGAGTGACAGCCAC